CCGACGAACCTGGCTTTGATACCAGATGATAAGACTCTAGGGTTTTATCATAGAAAAATAGAAAGAAAAGGAATTATCACTTTGAAAGGATCAGCCTCCTTGATCACTTCGAGGGGATCGATCTCCTAGGGTTTACCAAAAGATTGTAATAATAATTTATAGATAGATTAAAAGAAATATATACATCCATATTTATAGAGTTTCACCCCCGAGCCCATTAGGACTTGGACTCCTAATAAATAAATCTCAAATAAACCCCTATTTGACTCTTACTGAACTAGACAAACTCAATAAAACATTATTCAAAGCTTAGAAAATAAAAGGGATCCTAGTGAGTTATACCTAATAAACAATGTTGCTTAGGGCCATTGCACTCTGATCTTTGATTCTTGTCGGTGTTATACCTAATGAGTTCCAAGAACTTACCAACCTCGGTGAATAGTGGGAGCACCACGGCAGAAGTGGAGATGAACAAGTAATAAGCTTCTCTCATGATGACGAGACCATCGTCGACCAGGGTGAGGATGACAGGGTGATGGGTGAGTAGGTGTGATGGACGCAGGGTGTAGCGGGCTAACTAGGTCTGGTGTGATGGTCGAGCGATGCAGGTGCGACGATCGAGCAATGCAGGAGCTGCGGCAGTTGAGTAGGTCTAGTGTGGCTGAGGCGAGTGGTGCAGGAGAGGTGGTGTTCGAGTGGTGCAAGAGAGGTGGTGTTCGAGCGGTGCATGAGCTGCAGCGGTCGAGCACATTTGGTGCAATGGAGTGAAGCGATGCAAGAGAGGTGGTGATCGAGTGGTGCAGGAGCAGTGGCAGCAAGCGATGTAGGTGTGATAGTGGCAAGTATTGCAAGTGCGACGACGGTCAAGTGGTGCAGGAGCAACAATGGTCGAATGGTGCAGGTCGATCGGGTGTAGTGGGCGAGCGATGAGAAGTAGTTCGGAAAGAGGAGAGGAAGAGAAATCGATTAGGGTAAGAAATAAATATAAAATAAATAATTAAAAAATAATAAAATTATATTTTTATCCTTTTCATTTATTTTTTTTTTCATGTCACAACACATGCGATTTTTTCCATCGACGAAGTTAACAACGTAAGAAGAATTGAGGTTAAATATTCTACCTTTGTAAGTGTATAGATCTCAATGCTACTTCATAAAGTATAAGGACCAGAATGCTAACAATAGTTAGCTATATGGGGTAATATGTAATTACACCAACCCTATATAATTATGAATACGATTGGATTCTAATTATGGTTATCGACAAATATAAAGGAAGTTTAATTATGGTAAAATTCCTTAGAAGATGATCTTAATGGGAGGAACTCTCGTAATTACTTATTCTATATCCTCTCCTTGTCTTAAAAAGACAACATCATGTTGAATCTCAGATTTTGATGATGAAATCAATTGGTAAATTGTTTGACCGAATCTATTTGTTGAGATAAGTGTGCAAGATTAACTACGATAGCGGTAAAGCATAAAGTAGATGATGGACCAGAGTCGAAGATTCGGATGATGTACCAGAAGTGTGTCGGGAGCTCGCCGAGAGTTCGCTTGAAGATCGCCGAGAGTTTGTCGGGAGTTCGCCGGAAGCTCGTCGGAAGATCTCTGAGAGCTCGTCGGAAGATCGCCGAGAGTTCGTTGGAAGATCACCGAGAGTCCATCGGGAGTTCGTCGAAAGCTCGCCTGAAGACTCACCAAGAAGTTCACCGAAAGAAATATCGACATATCGGATTAATTGCTTGCCTTAATCGTAGTTAGAACATTAGTTGAGTTAGGATCGGGAGGTAATCCCACTAACTCAGTCAGGGGCCAACTGGGCCCTTAACAAGGGTGAATTGGGTCGGATTGAACAACCCATTCAGCACCTGAAACCACGGTCGACGGTGGCACCGCTAGAGCTCGGTCTCCGAGCTCTGTCAGGCGGTCGTACCGCCCAATGTCAAGTGTCAGGCGGTGGTACTACCCAATAATGGCAGTGGTATCGCCAGTACCCCGAAATCTGGGGATGTGACACTTTTTGGCTCCAATTCTGAAGCCATTGGGGCCTATAACTACTCCACCTTTTCATGCATGAAAAGACACGAAAGTGTTAACATAATTTTGAATTCCTAGGGTGTTAAATTATTGTAAAAGTGAGAAGAGTTCTCCCCTCCCTCTCTTAGCTTTGTAACCATCCAAGAAAGATGAGTAAGGCTTGTAAGAGTTATCTCCTAAACCCGACAAAAGGAGAAAGAACTATAAAAGGTGGTTGGTCTTCACCTATTAAAGGAAGACCATTAGTGGACACCGGTGATCTCGACAGAGGAGGAATCCGAAGTGGATGTAGGTCACAACGATCGAACCACTCTAAATCATTTTTTTGCAATTGCTTCACTTTCTCCTTACATGGCTTTCACTACTCTACGAGCAAACACGCAAGTCATTTTCCGAGATTGCTTTCAACGAACAAAAAATATTCAAAACCAATAATTTTTTCGCTGCACTAATTCAATCATTGAAAGATTATAGATATTCTCTTGTCTCCCCTTTGTCCATAATACATCGCTTACAGTGATCATGTAAAGAATAGGAAGAGAGAAGAAGATGAGTCTGGTTCTTCTTGTAAATCAGCATCGCTATAACTTTCAGATCCGATGACAATGCACCAACATATCTAATAAAAACTTCTGAATGGTCTCTAAAAGTACATATTATAAATTAAATTTATTGTTATTTGATTTTAAGTTTTGAATACAAATGATTTTTATGATTACAATTTAAACTTTTATGTTGCATTACTATTTGAGGAGTCTTCCCCTCCAAGTTTTATGCACTTGGTTGCACTACTTCTCGATGAAAACATTAGAACTAGTTGTCATGATTCAAATATTCGGTCGATCGACATAATTTTGTTAGTTATCCAGCTAGTTAATATGGTAATATGAATTTGGGTATCATTCCCGTGGGTCGAGAGTTGAGGTCATCACCAAATGTCCAGTGTGTTGATTTCTACTTTCATCCTGAGTGGTGAATCTTCCCTTATATGAGATTCGATGCACCCGATTGACGCATGCAATATATATATATATATATATATTGATGATGTAACATAGTATATTCTTTTATTTAAAATTTACTTGATAATATAATATAAATGTAGCATATTATATAATACTTGATAATCTCATAACTAGGCATCTTATACATAACAATTATAATGGTATGGTATGCTACCAATCACCCTAGCAAAGTCCTATGGTTAAAACTTATGATATGATTGATATTTTAATTATAGAAGATATTGGTTAGCCTGACTTGTTAAGACTTTGACTAATTATCATAAAATCTTATTTTCGTGGACAGTCATTTCGATGGATGGACTAAGGAGAAATGAGGGTGAGAGAAGAGATATAAGCGATATCAAATGTGATGATATGTGATTTTTGAGATTCTATCACTATTTAGGAGAGTCTAAGGATAATTAAGAGAATTCCTCGTCTAGGTTATATTCCAATGGATTTCCTATTGACCAATAATTTATAATTATAATCAGAATTTAATTAGATATTTAATATTTTTAATCTTAATTTAATTGGATCATATAATTTAATAATGATTCTTAAATATCTTGTTGGTAAGGAACAGACTGAATATCTTTTTTATATTCATCACAACGTATAAAACATTGTCATATGTAATTCAACATGAAACCTATAAATTGTATAATGATATATTAACTGATGTCTTAGGAAAAGACACAAACTGAACGTTTTGAAGAGGTTTTATTCTTGCTATGTAATTTAGAGCTCTGACGCCATAGGGTGAGCTCACTAACACATCTCAAGATAGTTGTGTTTACTATGAACCCCCAATTACTTCCTTGAAAATGATAATATCACCGGAATATCTTATATAAATTAGGTAACATATTATTTTATATACTTATTAAAAATTCAACGAAAATTCACAATTCTTCCAATTACCTCTTTTTCCACGTACTTCCGGAAGAATTGAACTCATCTTCCGAAATATCATGTTTTTTGTGTTGTCAAATGGTGTCAATTTAAGTTTGCTCGTTACCATAACTTTGACTCTTACGGCGAAAAGATTATCCCTCGGATTTTACTTCTAACTCGAAGCTCTATTTAAATTCTGAGTTTGTTTGAATGGAAGCTTCTGCTCGGTGGAAAAAGAAATCAACATAAGAATCAAAATGGTGCTCAGAGAACAAACTAAATCGCACGTGGAATGGCGGCAGCAGCAGCAGCAGCAGCGCCGGTATATGGTCAACCCGCTGTCTTTGGACAGAGGTCATCCGTGCATTTCCTCTGTACTCACTCAACCACCTACCTGGTTTGTTATTGGCGAGACCCGTCGGTGTGAGAAGGTGTCCATCTTTTTGACACGTCCGCGCTCGTTTCTGCCCGTCACCCAACTTGCCGTTATCCACGCGCTCAACATGGAAACCCACGAGCCACAGGTCCACGTGTATCCATCACCCCCAATCCCCCCCCCCC